AACTCATACACGATAACCCCATATAGATGCATGGCTTATTTGTTATGGTACACGGCTTGCTCTTTTGTTTCACACGGTTTGGAGCCTCGAAGAGTTGGTGGCACACAACTTCGCTGGACTAAGGCACATGATCATGCCTAATTTGCTCTTCATCCTTTGTCATTTAGTTTCTATCCATGTCTCATTTCTTTCTCCCTTGAAAAACATCTCAACATTGATATACATGGGTGTGTCACTTCTCCTACCTAAGGCGTGTTGATTGCTACTCGCTTGTGTGTCTTCTTTGCCGAACATCCACGTGGTTTCCTTCTTTGTTTCATATGACCGGTAGTTTTTTCCTCTTGTAGGTCACACGGTCGGGTGTCGTCTTTCATTCTTTTATGGCTTTGGCTTCTTATGCAATTTAGTTTAGGTTTATTCACTTCGATTTGTCATTTTTTCTACAAAAAACTCAAAATCGTTATCTTTTTCTTAATTATAATACAATAAGCATTAGTAAGTTTAATATAAAAAGACATAAAATTTGTGTAAATTATGCACCTATCAGAGTTGCATAATGAATTCAAAGACCTTGTTACCACTTTATCAACTAGAGCCAAACCCATTTCCTTCATCAAATTGTATAGTCTTTTGTTGAGTCACGAGTTTTTCAATCGAGATGTTTTTCATCTGCTAGCTTTAGCCTCTAGTCCTAGAGCTTCTACCCATATGTTAGCCCATCCGACCATTGGTCCCTTACGATAGAAGTAGTAGCAAGAGAAATTTTATAACTAATAGCACCAGACTTTTTTCTTTCTATGATTCACAACTATAGGTGCTAGAGAAATAGAGGTGATTCCTCTACATGGTAATAAACTAGTTTACCCTAAATCGAGCCCTAAAATCAATCTCAATTGACTAATTCTCTTCCAAGTCGCAACATATGTTGTCAACTTTGCAATGGATGGAATAACACTCGCTCAATCATGTCCCCAATCCTATTAGTAACCTATCCTACCGACGGTTAATATGGACTTAAACATCACTTCATTTTCTCTTATTTAATGGTTTTCAAACACTATTACCACTCATCATATCATTATTGACCTTATAGGTATGGTTTAATTTGATCCTTATAATGATACTAATTACTTACAAATAAGAGAAGGTAAAAGACTTGCTAACTCTAACATTGCTTCTATAATTTTACACACTTTGAAATGCATAACATTACTCTATATTCAACAATTTACACATGAAATAATATTTTCTTTGAATTTCACACTTTTATTTTTATGTCAAGGATCAAATTTCAAGGAAATTCTCCTCTCTTAATGGAGTAAGGATGGTCTCTTCCTCTCCGACTCCTCCTTCATATTTGTTCCTCAAGCATGTTTAACAATTCGTGTTCCCGCTAAGACATGACATCATCGACTTAGGCATCTTACTCCATGCATTTTAAGTCAAGTTGTTTTTTAAAAAAAGTGCTTCCATGTACAAATTCTAGTATTAAATGTGAGTGTCCGGTGTTTCCACTCAACAAGCTTTTTAATTTATATTTTAGGATGTATAGGTCATAGGTCTAGTGCTTCTTTGGAACTTATCTTTAGTAATGTATAGGGCTCATCTCTAATGATTTCATTCAATAAATTTCATTTCTTTGTCATTTTTATTGATAACTTCACTAAATTTATTTGATTTTAACCAATTTTTAATAAATTAGATATTTTTAAAACTTTTTTTTCATTTTTAAAAATTAGTCGAACATTGGTTCTCAACTAAAATTAAAATGATTCAATTAATTAAGGTGGTGAATATCAAAAATTACATATTTCACCTATATTAATATTCATCATCGTGTTATATGTCCTCACGCTCATGAATAAAATGTCTTTGTTGAGCGTAGACATTGTCACATTGTTGAAATATTTTAACTTGTTTATTTTGATGTTACTCATAAATTTTGGCCTTTTGTATTTTCTACTACTATCTTTTTGATCAATCATATGTCAACTATTACTCACAATAGTAAGTCTCTCTTTGAGTGTCTTTATCATCTTAAACTTGATTATCTTTGTCTCATAACATTTAGTTATCTATACTTTTCATTTCTCCATCTTTTTAACGAACATAAAGTAGATATTTGTTCAATCGCATTTGTTTTTCTTGAATATAGTTTTAATCATTATGGGTATGTTTGTTTTAAAAATTTCACTAATAAAATTTCCATCGTATGACATATACATTTTCATGAAAATACTTTTCTTTTTGTAAATGGTGAATAAGGATCTCTACCTTCTAAACCAGTTCCTATAGCATCTAGCCTCTTCGCTCCTATTGGACCTGTCTCAAGCCTTCCCTTTTTCTACTTTCTCTAGCTCTCAACAACTTATGCTCACTCTTTTTTCCATGTTTTATTTCACTACTTCTACCGCCTTCGTGCTTATTAATACTCAATCTCTTTCTCTTGTTGGTTCTCGTGAGTGATCTACGGTGCATAACTCACCTTGTTTTCTATTTAAACTTAACTTGGTGGTTTATCTTTCGATATTTTAACTATTATCTCTTGTCACCATTATTTAGGAGCCTTTCACTCGCCACAATCTAGCGAGTCCTCATAATGGTTGGTTCCTTCTTCTCAACGTACACACATCATTGTTCTTGTCCCTCTTATCTATTCCGAACTAGTAGCTTATCTTAGCAATGTTTCTATCTCTACCATTGCTAACTCTTGGCTTTTTGCTCTTCTAGACTATAAGCCAACCTTTTCTAAGAAGGCTAACCTTTATTTTGAATGGTATGGTGTTACGCATATTGAAATAAATGTCTTACATGCAAATCATATGTGAACTCTTATTCTTTAATTTTTTTTGTATGAAATGTTGTTAAGTGTCATTGCATTTATCGTGTCAAAAAGAAGGCTGATGGTTCTCTTAAGCGCTACAAGGCTATATTTATGGCTAAAGGATTTCATCTACCATGAGGTATGGATTAAGCATAGACTTTCGGCTTTTTCATTAACTCTACCACTATTCGTATTGTTCTTAGCATTCCTATTTCTATTCAATGGTTGGTACGCCGACTTGACATTCATAATGCCTTTCTTAATGATATTTTTATTGAAAATGTGTTTATAGAGCAGATCATCCGGATTTGTTCATCATACGTGCTCCACTCATGTGTGTAAATTACACAAATTTCTCTATAGTTTGAAACGAGCATCGCAAGTATGGTAATCTCACTCAATCGGTTTCTCTTACGTTTTGGATTTATGAGCTCCAAAGCCGATACTTCACTCTTTATTATGTTAATGTTGAGGTTTTCATCTTTATCTTAGTTTATGTTGATGACATTTTTATCATAAGTAATTGTTCATCCCATATCACTATTCTTATCGCACTCGCTTGTTACTTAATTTTACTTACGTGATGTTGGTCATCTTACTTAGTTTTTTGGTGTGAAGGTGACATCTACTATTCAAGGTCTTCACTTTTGCCGGTAAAAATATATTCGGGACATTTTTGCTTGATTAGTTACGTCTACTTGCAAACCTATGGCCACTCCAACCTCCACTTTCACCAAGTTTTGCCTCACTAATATAACAAGTCCTTTCCTAATGTTTTCAATTATCTTCAAATTATTAGTTTTTTTTATAATATTTGGCACTTACTCATTTTGATATTAGCTTTGCAATTAACAAAATTTATCGGTTTATACATTAGCCTTCTAAAGATCATTGAATGACTATTAAATGTATTCTTTGTTATCTCCAACATACTATTCATTGAAATAGTAGACAAAGCTCTTATTGATGTTGCTACCAAACTACTTCGATTCCATCTCTTCTTCGTAAACTGACTCCCTCTCCATCAACTCTTAGATGTGATAGTCTTAGTCCCACTTACTTATTAACCAATCATGTCTTTCATGCTCATACTAACGATATTGAGGTTAACTTTCATTTCGTCCGAGATCAAGTAAGTAATGGTCTTCTTCAAGTTAAGCTCATTTCTTTTTAGGATCAAATTGCTATGTTCTTACTAAACCCTTGATTTCTTCTTCTTACTTCCAAGTTTCATGTGAGTTATTTACCCTCCTTAGCTTGAGGGGGTTTATTTAGTCAAAAGTTTATATATATATATATATATATATATTGTATCTTGTAATATCCTAGTTTATTGCATATATTTTATGTATTACGGGCATTGTAATATTTTCTCTATAGTACAATTTTTTTTTTATATTGTATTGAATCTTATATATAAATGCAATACGATACTATTATATATATATAAAAAAAAACTATGCAGGTATAATAATATCTTATATTTTCTTTTTTACTTATTTTTCTCAACTTCCTTAAACAATAAAATATTTTTAAAAATATTAGATGCATTTTAGATAGAAAGGGAGATTTTATAGTATCTTTTAGCTTTTGAATGTTCATTGTAATTTCATGGTACCTAGAGAAGATTAATATAATTTATCCTAAACAATTTATTCCATCGGGAGCTACCCATTTACTTACCTTTTCTTTTTCTACATAATAGTAATACTATAAAAATAAATATTTCTATTTTCCTGTGCAAAAGAACAAGTCTGCCAACTGGATACAAACCCAAAATGATAGTAAAAGGGAAATAAATTGGAGCCATGAGAAATGAAAAAAGGTTCCGGTAACTCAGGGTTGCACATATTGGCACTACCACAGAGGAATACGAGACTTACACAAGGAAAAAAGACCAATTTCATTGGCATCTCAATACATAACTGCACCCACATTCATTTTCTACATATTTTACATAATAATGATTAGTGGCAAATATGGTTTTCTTCATGTGGTGCAGGGCATCATGTAAAATATATGTCGGCTGATAATTGATAGTAGAGGAGATTGAGCGATGCGATTATATCTTTCCCAATAAATTCTACAGTGGCGTTATGTGTTATCATTTATCACACATAATCTTTTTTCTCTCTTAAAAAGCAGCAAGTAGTAGTAGTAGTAGTCTAGCTTGAAGTCAAGCAGCAGCTATAGTTTCACTTTTACGAGAAGACTTGGAGCTCGTTGTGGATGCTGATGCATGACGATCTTCTTTCTTTGATGCTATCATAACGTTGCACTTTTCTTTTCTCGCATCTTGTTTCATCTGCTGTTCTCTGCACTCTTGACTACAAAATGCCGTGTCTCCCCTGAAATATGATCACAGAAAAACACCAAAAACAGAAAAATAAAAATAATAGAAAAATTAATGCAACGGAGCACATCATAAAAAAGAACAAAAGAATCATGCAATCATCTTCATCCTTGCTAGTTAATAAAATCTTTGGCCTACAAAATAGTACAAGGAGAAGAGAAAATCTATTAGACTTAAAAGAGTTGGATTTACGCATCGTTTAATACCAAGTACTAAAAAAAAAAAAAAAAAAGAAGCTAGATTTGAGGCATGAGCAGATCAGTTTCAGAATTTTTTTTTAAAAAAAAACCAATGAATCTAACAACGAACTCATTTAGTTGAATAAAAAAACATTAGATCATGATTATATATATATATATATATATTTCCTTGAGTCAATAGAAGTAGAAGATAGTAACCATTTACTTGATTACATAACTTTTTTTTCCTGCTAAAAATATTGTCAGCAATCATTCATAAAAGAAAAGTACAATATACAGTAATAGGTAGATCTTTACATGTCCACCAAATTCCAAAGCTAAAAACCCTTCAGAATTCATGAAGACAAAAGAAAATTAAATACTGACTTGAAAAACAAAAAATCCCTTCAAGATGACAAGCAACTACAAGAACAACTAAAAATAATTAATCTAACAAATAATTCGAAAGAGAGGACATATGTATAAATATTATATATGAGAACATACCTATACATGTATAAATCTTTTCCAGGACCCAACAGGCGTTTACAAAGGCCACAAGTCCTCAAGAAATGAGCAGCCTCCACAAAATGATCACCAAAGGCGCCACTGCTCCTATGGTGGTCTCTTGGTGACACCATGGTGGGCAAGAAACGTTGATCATGTAGTAATCCACCAGTATTGCCACCACCAAAAGTATCCACCATGTTGTTGTTGGTTTTGTGGTAATCAAAAGACCCTTCTTCTGGTCCAAAAGTTGCATTAGGATCTCTCTGGCTATTATTATCAGAAAGCTCTGATAAGCCGGTATCCACGTGGCTAGGATGATCAACGGTGATACCAGTCATGCTCGTTGTTCTTCTCATGGGTCCTCTTGGACGCTTCCCTAGCAACATCCTTTCGCTCTTTCTTTTACTATAGAGAAAGGGATGCTAAGCTGCTGGTTATGGAGAGAGCGAGTGAGAGAGAGGGATAATGGAAGCGAAAGGAAGGGAAGGAGAGAAGATAATTAACGGGAGGAGTGGGGTGGGGGGAGACTGAGAGCGAATCTTGGCCGTTGCTTGCGGGCACCGGGTTCTAAGAACTCCACGTCACGCTTCTTTTCTCTCTCAACTTTTGTGACTGTGAATTCTGTCTTCTACTCTCCTCCCCTCTCCTCTCTTTGTGTTTTTATAACGTTTTCTGAGTTTTTGTACATTAGTTCCGACATTTCAATTCAGCCCCATCATATCGTACTACAAAATGAAATCAAATTACAGAAAAACATAAAATTGTTACTGCAGTAAAAAAAAAAAAACATATTTTCATTAAATTTTTTTAATAATAACATATAATTATTTTCGTTTTATATATAAATGTTTAATGGATTGGAATTTACAATTCAGCAATTGTGATTTTTTATTTGTTTATTGGTGATTTTTTTTTTTATGTATATATACATGTATTTTTTTATGCTTACAAGTTAATCCTTGTTACGTCATGTATTAAAAAGAAACAAAAACAATAATTCTATTGTTATGGGGCCAATAATTTCAATTAAAATATGTACAATCTGTTGGATCCATCAAACTAATAATTATTCTGTATAAATTAAACGTATCTGCCTCAAATCTTTTTGAGAATAGTTATTTTCTTGTTTGCATGATCTAATCTAGAGTTTGTTGAATCATTAATGAAGATTTTCAAAATTCTATAAGTTTCCGCGATCAGGTGCAGTTGAATAGAATGTAGATGGAAAGCAAAAACTGGGGGCGTTAGGAGATTTGAGTAGGACGTTCGCATCTAACTCTCCATGTCCTGTTGGGATTTATTATTATTATTTTTTATCCTCTCATCTATATTAACTTAAAAATCTAAATTAATTCTTTGTCATTTTAAATAACGCACAAAGTAGAATCAGTTATTAAAAAAAAACTTTATATATAAAAAAAAATTAAAATTAAAATTATTTATTTAAATAAAAAATATATATATATTCAAGCCAACTCATTTAGATTGAACCTTTAGTATTTTGAGAAATGAAATGAAGTTGAGATTTTTGAGATTTTTACTATCAACCAAGATTTGGAGATTAGTGCATCGTCTTTCAATGCGACCAAGTCAGTTGAATAATTGAATCAGATCATTCGGTGGATGCTATTTGTTGGGTTGCCAAAACAGCTCAAAACCGTGGAAGGTACAGCAAATTACTGGTCGATATAGTTTCTCGTTCGATCAAGAAGGGATAGGCTGTGTCACCTCATTCACAAGAAAAGACAAATCAATGGTGACACGGATTCAGCAGCAGAGCGAGGTACATGGATCATACTCATTGCTTTGCTTAATTTGATGTGCATCCTATCCCAGCTGCTTCCTTTCTTTTGTTTATGCTGCTGAAAACAGTAATGGGCCATGTTCTTGTTGGCCACGGAGCTGAGTTTCATTTATTTGTATCAATAATGATTTGGATCATTTTTTTCATAAAGAAGCAACAATATTCACAAGAGTAATGACCAAGCAATAGAGTAAAGTAATGAATAAGGAATTTTTTTTTTTTTTTTATAATGGATTTCTTGTCCACAAAAGATTTTTTATCCACCAAGCATTTGGGCCAGTGTAAGTAGGTGAATATATATATATGGTTTTTAAGCGTGCAAAACACAAAGGCCAATAGATTTTTGTTAAATGTTCGAGTGAGTAGACACGGGACTTTGAAATTGAATTTTAGGTATAAAATTACAATTATATATTTTTTTTACTAATTTTAGTATAGTAACCAATTACTCTTGTTTTTTTGTGAATTAAATAAGATTTTGTTGAACCACATTAAATATTATATGCCAATTTTAATAATTTTTTTTTCAACTCACACACTCAAGCCTCCTAGCAAAAATAGTCTATTATGATTTAAACTCATAACCTCTTCCTACAAAAGACCACTATCAATGAGCTACAAGCTCTTTGCTAACTTTCTTTTCATTGAATTGGGTTATTCATGATGGTCCGTAGAATCTCGGTATTTTAATTTTCCAACAAATTAATATCAAAACTTTGGTTTTGGAAAATTTGGCTTTTGATTGCAAATAATATCCGCACACCACAAGTTTCAATTTCCTATAGAATAATTTAATAGAAACAAAAGTTTTTTTTTTTTTTGGCAACGAAGATGAAAGACATCTTTGTTCAGTGGGGCTTGGCTAAAACATTGAAGGGAAAGGATGGAAAGACAAAAGAGATGGAGGATCACGAGTAAGAGTTAGAATATAGGTTGCGTGAGCACAATTCAACTTTGTATTACTAATAACCTTGTCAATAATGTTATGGAAAAAGATTAGGAGCCTACAATATGGGGAAAAAAAATCTTTATTTGATGAAGAGTTTAGCCAACAAGTTACATCTTAAACGATAATTTTACAAGCACTCGAATGTATTCATTGGTATAATAGATCAACTATATAAAGTTGATGTTAAGATTGAGAAAGAAGACAAGGTCTTTTTGCTTCTTATCTCTCTTCCCGATTTGTTTAAAAATATGGTGACTTGTCATGTTTTATAGCAACGATATAATAAATTTTCACAAGTATATGCTACATTTTTATCTTGTGAGACACAAATAAAATCAAATTAAGAAAATGAATATAACTCTATACTAGTGACCAAAAGTGAATACTAAAAATAAAGGGTTTTATCCTATATTTGGTCCTTGTACGAGTTTAAATTTTTTTTATTTAGATACAATTTTTCAGTTCGATTCAAACCCTCTAATTTTATAAATTTATTGATTAATACCCTCCGCTATAACTCTTTCAACTATTCATCCAACGTGACACGTTATCGTTAACATTCACTAATCGTTGATCGACACGTGGCGTTGTGGGTTCCAAATAACGAGTGTTTTCGTCCAAAATTAAAAAAAAAAGATTTAAATATTTTTTAATAATAAATTAATATTTATAACTAAAAATTAATTGAAAATACAAATTTACCCTTCATCCCATTATCCCAAAATCAATCGTTCTCTCCTCACTGTCTCTTTCTAAATAAAGTCCTTCGTTTCGCTTCTTCATCTTCTTATTCTTCTCCTTCTTCTTTGATGAAACCCCGGACTTCCTATTTCTAATTAATTTCTATTAGATTAGTGATTGAAAGAAGATTGAAGATTCCTTTCCACTTGCTACTTACCTCGCCAATGCCTATTAGGTCTATCAACTTTGTTTGATTAGTTATTATATTTAAAAGAGCAAAACGAAATCTTGAAAAATTGCGGGGTCTTTATACTTGTTCCTATCGGTCCCATTTGCTTTTTCTTGATTTTGATCTTCGTTTTGGGTTCTTTTTGTTCGCCTTAAGAACATCCGGGTTAGCGAAGTTGGGTTTTGCTCTTGGGTCCGAACTATATGGGAGGAATCCATTGATTTGCCTTCATTGGAGATGATTGTATTATTTGGAGTCGCTTTTGATAATCCAATAAAGGATTTATAGTTTTGGATTCTCGAAGGAAAAAATATTTATTATAAAGCCAAAGGTATGAATTTTCACTATTAAAATTCCTTTTTGGTGACCTTCCATCCGGGATTTACTTCTCTTACTTCCTTTTTAATTGCTAATAAGTTCTCATAAACCGATAAGGTGAGGTGGCCATTTGGAAATTGCCATTGCCGGAGATCGAGTTTTAGTTTATGCCTTAAAGAGAAATGGTTCCCTTGTACCAACTAGATGATAAGTGGATTGAAGTCCATAAAAGTACACATAAGATCAAGATTCTTCCATTTTTCCTAATTTCTTTGCCGAGTGATGTTGTGTTAACCTATTGCATTTCGCAACGAATGATGTACGATATGTAAACAATGCATTTTGTATTTGTAAGCAATAAATATTAATTTATTATTAAAAAATATTTAAATCTTTTTTTTTAATTTTGGACAAAAACACCGTTATTTGAAACCCACAACACCATGTGTCAATCAACGATTGGTGAATGTTAACGAGTAAAGTTCTACGTTAGATGAATAGTTGACGGAGTTATAACGGAGGGTCTTAATCAATAAATTTATAAGATTAGACGATTTCAATCAAACTTAAAAATCGTAATGGGTCTCAATAAAAAAAAAAAAAATTGAAACTGTACAAGGACCAAATGTAAGATAAACCTTAAAAACAAAGATGAGTTGAAAAGAAATTTCGAGTTACATGTCCGATTTCGGATCCGGAGGAAGAGCATTCGATGTTATATATATAAAAAATTTAGTCACATAAAGCAAGATTGATCTTGAACAAAGAGGATGGATAAATCGATGATCGTGGGAAATTCTTTAATGGTGTTAAAAGACTATAGAGATTTCTTTATAGTCTCTAAAAGTATTGACACTTTTTCTCATGATAGTTGGGTATTAGATTATACATGTGTATTATATGTGTGTTTTGAAAAATAATATTTTGATGAGTTTTGAGAAGAAAATATTGACATTGTGTTTTTAGATCGTATATCATCTTACGATGTTATGGGTCTTTGAATGGTGAAAATTAAAATGTATGATGTCCATACTTTGAATGATGCGGCTTATATCCCAAAGATGCATAGAAATGTAATATCATTAGGCTAGTTAGATTAAAAAAGATACAATTGTTTTACTATAAGTAGAGTTTTGAAAGTCAAATATGATGACACAATCATGATGAAAAGAAAAAAATGTGATGATTTATATTATCTTATTGAAATGACAATGACCTTGAAAAGTGATTGGAAATGGACTACCATGATTATAAGTGCTCGAAAATACTTTATTTGGTGATTGAAAAAGAGATGGTAATTGTGCATTCTTAGGTTTTAGATGAGTGTGAGGGAAAAGATTCTATCAAGGTAAATGATGGATCGAGAATCCTTTGTAGAGTTAATAAGTAAATTTGACTCATGGTAGCTATATATGAATATTGGTCGTGTTTTTTGAATCGGGTGAAATTCAAAATTGTTTACTAATTTAGGTCATGCTTAACTCGTAACTTTTAACATCAATAGTTATTTTTATTTTTCTATTTGTGAAATTTACCAAGTAGGTGGAGCCACCAAACTCCGGGATAGTAAAATATTCATCAAAATAGAGATTGTTGGACTTATGACTCATGTTCCTTGTAGTACTCGTCAAGTAAATAGAGTAGAGTAACAATCCAATATTATTTTTTTTCACTAAGAATTACTCGTCCACAAAGGATTTGTTATCCATAAAGAATTCTTATCCACTAAGGATTTGTTATCCATAAAGAATTATTTATCCACTAAAGGTTTTAGCCATTATAAGTAGGTGAGTAAATGTATGATTTTAGTATGTGCAAAACACAAAGAATTCTTGTCTATAAAGAATTCCTTAGCCACTATGGATTTTGATAATTATAAATAGGTGAGTAGATGTACTGTTTTAGGATGTGCAAAAAATAAAGATTAAGATGTTTTCTTTGAATGTACAAAAGGCCTTGAAATTAGATTTTGGATATAAAAATTATAATTATATTCTTGTACTAATTTTCTCTCATAGTAAAATATTACTCTCGGATTTTAAAGAGTAGACAGAGTTTTGTTGAACTATAATAAATCTTTTGTGTCTATTTTTATTTATTTTTGTTAATTTTTTTTTAATTGAATTGAGTTGTTATTGGTTATGTGTTGAATCTTTGATTCTTAATTTCTCAACAAACGTATTTGTTTGGTGCACATGTGAATGGTATCTCAAATTGAAAAAAATGAAAAAATAAAAATGCTTATTTATAAGATGGACTCATGATCCATTAGCTAAAGCGGTGTTCATCTTTGTGTGTAAATCCTTATATGTATAGACTCGACTCGGATGCAAAGGCCTATGCACCTATTCGAATACAGGCAAGTCTCTAACAAGTAGTAGCGAAGCCGAAGGTTTGACTTGGGTCACATGGCAATTATGGAATATCGTGAAATATTACACTCAAATTGTTAAATACCTTTCGTAGAAGAAAAGTTGTGTTCGAATGAGTCGAGCTCACTTATGAATGCGAGATTTATTGAGTAAACATATTGATTGGTAACTTTTTCACATTGAAAATAAATGAAAAAAGAGAGGTGCTTTTATAAGATGGACTAATGGTCAATTAACGTAGACTTTTGAGTTAAAATAATTTATTATTATTATTATTATTTGCAAGCGTTAGTGCATGTAGGTCCAAAATCAAATGCATAGACCTACACATCTCTTAGAACACGTACAGGTCCCTAACGTTTCCACACGGTGGTTACGAGGAATTCCTTTATTGGGCAGCATAAAATTACTGTTCATAAAATATTCGTTTTGCACTGTGGTAAGATGAATCGTGCTTGCATGATTAGGTCTTTCTTTTTTCATGTCTTGTTCAAATTTCAGTGGCAATGACGACATGCTGTAAAAGATGAACATGATTAATTAGATGTAATAAAAGGGCAAGTGAAAGATATGAACCTTGACGAATACATGCTATAGTGGAAAAAGATTGCATAATCAACGAAAAGGAAGTGGAATAGAATGAACCTAAACAAGACATACTGTGTGAGAGCTCAGTGGAGCAAGGGAAGCCAACAAACATCTTTTCACTTTTGAAAATGTTCGGCATTTATTCATGTCACCGATATCAGGTGTTTCCTGATTTCCAGGCCACATAATAGTAGCACAAGCTTAATACGATTTCTTATTTTTCTCTCTCTCTCTCTCTCTTTTTTTTTTTTTTATTATTTAACTATCAATTCTAAACGTTTATCTTAATTTTCGTTGATTAGACCTTCCTTTGAATTTGAACAAAAAGTAACATTTCTCTTTTATAGTTGCATTGGTAAAGTTTTTTTCCAGAATCAGTTTCCATGAATCGGTAATTAAATCTTTTTAGTTGGAACTTAAGTAGAGGTATCTATATCTAAATAAAAATACATTCACAAAAAAAAAAAAAAAAAACAATTCTTTGACAATATTTTCTTAAATTCCAATCTTAATAATAATATGAAAAACATTCCCACTTATTCTTAACTGAATGAAGCTTCTAATTAAGAATTCAAATAACAACACCTCAAAGGTGTAGCTTAAGTCGTGAAAGCTCAACCTCACCGTGCCTCATCTTGAAGCTTGTTGTCACCCAATTTTTTATCCCATCTGTTTCATAATTTTTTTCAAAAAAAAAATATATATATATTCAAAGTTAAATATTCTCTTAATTTACCTGAATTTACAAATTTTTATCTTTTTTCAAGATTTTTGTGAGTTTTAGAGAAAATTATCAAGCCTAAAAATGAGCGAAAAAGAAAAAAAATAGAAAAAGAAAAAGAAAAGAGAAAAAATAGAAAAATTGTAATTTGAGCTTAATTGAAAAAATAAAATAAGTAAGGACCAAAGAAAATTCAATTAAAGGTATAATTAAAATAAATAAAAAAACAAAGACTTTAATTGAGAATAAATCGGGATAGAATTAAGAGAAATCAAGAGAAAAAGGACTAAAGAATCTCAATTAGGGGCCGTGATTGGAAAGAAAATAAAAAAGGACGAACTAAAGTTGTAAGAGGAATAGAAATAAGGGACTAATTCAGATTTTGCCCTGAACCCTAAATAACCCACTATAAAATCCGCAGTTCTTCTCTCTCCTAGGGCATCCATCATTTTCCTTCACCCAAAACACTGCGGTTATACATCTCCGCCATTGCTACCCTTGCCCCAACCACTCCTTTCCAAAACCCAACAGCTCTAGCCACTCCTCTCACAGCCAGCCATTCCTTGTCGTTTGCCACTCTCTCATAGCCCAATCAATCCTCCACCAAAACCTAGCAGTCCCAGCCAATCCTCCACCCATAACACCACAATCTAGCCCCCGAAACCTCTCCTCGTCGCTACAGCCCTCCCAGTTCGGCCACCCTCGTCGCAACTTCCCCTCACTAATCCTAGCAGCCATCTCCACTACTATATGGCCACTTTGAAACCACTCCTTCATAGCCACAAACCGCCACGCCAAGCACCGCCACTAACCCCGAAACCACTCCCTGTACTCCGGCCAGCACCAATCCTCATCAATCAATTCCGAAATTAAATAAAAAAAATTTTAAAAAGCTTTCGTAAGATTATGTAGAAAAACTAAAATAATAATTAATAAAAATTTATATAAAATTGAAAAAAATATATTTTTTAATTTATTTACTGTTGATGTGGATATTAATTTTTTTTTAAATATGAATTTAATTTTTATATATTTATTTATAAAAAAATAAATAATATTACAAAGAAAAATTATATTAATTTAAATAATTGAATGATTAAGTTAAAACATAATTTTAATTATTTAATTTAAAATAAATTAATTTTAAAATATTAATTAATAAATAAATAATAAATGCTTAGTGTAGTAGTAGTTATTGTATAATTAATTTATAAAAAATAACGATATATATTTTTTCTATATCATAATTATACTAAGTGGGTTTAGAATTTTCAATATGAATATATTGACTAAATTTGAAGTTAATAAACTAAAATAAAAATTATTACAAAATTGATTTCAATTAATTTTGATTATGTAGAGAAGAAACAAATAAAATACATGATTTTTTTCTCCTTAAATAATTTTTTATTTCCATGCTATGCATGACTAATATTTAAATACAAGTCTCAAGCGCATAACAATCATCTCCTTTTTGTCTTTTACATTTGAATTTCAACTATTAATTAACTAATTTAATTTTTTTCTAAAATAAAACTAAGAAAAAATTATTTAAAATACATTTTTAATCTAAAAATGCATTTTAGACAAATTATATATATTAATCATACCATTGTAATTTAAAAATTATTTAAATCAATTTTTCAAAAGAAAAAATAATCATGTTCTATAAATTTATTCTAAAATCCATACATATAGAAAAATAAATCAAAACTTTCGAGTAAATATAATTTTAAATTTACTTGGATGAGAATTTAAAAAAAATGATAAATTAAAATAGTAAATTTTAAATAATAAAAGTAATTAACAAAAAATACTAAAATAAAATGGGACCAAATCACAATACAATTAAAGTTTGAAATTGAAAAAAAAAGTGCATAGAAAAATTAAGGACCAAAGTGTTACAAAAATATTATGAATAGTGAAAGAAATAATGATTTGTGAGTATGTGAATAGTATTATGAATAATAAACGCATATTTTGTTTTAATGTTTTTTATAATGTTGATGAATAAATGTTAGAAATAACTTGAGATATTTATGAATTATTGGATAGTTGAAGTGTGAATGAGATACGTCGTTGTATATCAAATCCGAAAGGATCCGAGATCCCGAGTATCTTAAGAAATAATAAAGTCGGTGTCAATGCTCCAGTAATGGAATCGGAAGGACTAGGCATGAGTTTTAAATCAAATAGTTTGTCCGGGATGATTGCCTAACTTGGTATGCACAATTGAGCATGCTATTTTGTTTGTGTGATATGATTGATTAAATGCGATATTTGTGTTGCGTTGTTTGCATGATGTAGTTGATTAAATATAATGTGTGTATACGATAAGATAATAATTATTAGCCTCAAAGGTTGATGTTGTGTTCAACATAACCGGATATTGTGTGCGTATAAAATAGAGTAACCGGTGTTAGCTTAGAAAGCTAATGTCGTGTTCCGCACGACCAAACATGATGTTGTTGACCTTTGAGGTTGATGTTGTATTTTGCACACTCGAATGTGATATTTGAGCATGTGATAAATTTTTGTGTTTATGAGCTCGCAACCATTAATGGTTCATCAATTTTCATGTCATGGACTCATAGCCATTGGTGGCTCATTAAATTTCATATTTATGGGCTTGCGGCCATTAATGGCTCACCAATTTTTATGTCATGGGCTTACAACGATTAATGGCTCACCTAATTTTATGTTATGGGCTTGTAGCCATTGATGGCTTGCCAAATTTTATATTATGGATTCACAATTGTTAGTGACTCCTCAATTTTTGTATTATGGGCTCGCAATCATTAATGGCTTGTCAATTTTATGTCATGGACTCGTAGCCATTAGTGGCTCATCAAATTTCATGTTTATTGAGTCACAACCATTAGTGGCTCACTAATTTTCTTGTTATGAGCTCGCAGTCATTCTTGGCTCACCAAATTCTATGTTTATGGATTCACAACCATCCGTTGCTCGTTAATTTTCATGTCATAAGCTCGGAACCATTAGTAGTTTAGCAAATTTTGTGTTTGGGCTCGTAGTCATTAGTAACTCACTAATTTTTATATTATGACTCGCAACCATTAGTAGTTTGTTAATTTTTTTTATTATGGGCTTGCAACCATTAATGGGTTGCCAATTTTCGTGTTATGAGCTCTCGACCATTAATGACTTGTCGATTTTATGTGATGGGCTTACGGCCATTAGTGGCTTGTCAAATTTATGTTATGGGCTTACAACCATTAGTAGCTCATCAATTTTTATGTCATGGACTTAAAAATATCAACGGTTCACTTATTTTATATGTTATGGGCTCGAAGCTATTAGTTATTTGTCATTTTTGTGTTATGGGCTCCTAGTCATTAATAGCTCGTTAATTTTATGTGTTATGGGCTTGATATCATTATTAGTTTATAACTTTTTTATGTGTTTATGGGCTTGACATTGTAATCGGCTCGTCACCTTTGAATGTATTTATGAGCTTGACATCATTATCGATTTGCCATTTTTAAATGTGTTTATGGGCTTGATGTTGTCATCAATTCATCACTTTTGAATGTATTTATGAGTTTGATGTCGTTATTGATTCACTAATTTTAAATGTATTTGCCACTTTTGAATGAGTTTATGGGTTTGATGCTCGCCATCGGCTCATCATATTTTTCTCGTGTTTACGGGTTTGATGTCATTATCGACATGCTACCTTTGAATGTGTGGTATGGGCTTGAAGCCATTAGTGGCTTAATAATTTTTATGCTATGAGCTTATATCTATTAATGATTTGTTAATTTTTAAGTTATGAGCTCCCGACCATTAGTGGCTCACCGGTTTTATGCTTATGGACTAATAACCATTAGCGGATCACCAATTTTTTGATTATGAGATCACAACCATTAATGATTCGTCAATTTTGTATTTATGAGCTCCCAACCATTAGTGGTTCACCAATTTTATCTTTGTAAGCTCGCAATCATTAATGGCTCCCTAATTTTGTATTTATGGGCTTCGTAGCCATTAGTGCTCGCCAATTTTGCTTTTATGGACTTGCAAAAATTAGTGGCTCATCAATTTTATAATTATAGGCTCGCAATCATTAGTGGCTCATCAATTTCTTATTTATAGGTTCACGACCATTAATGGCTTGTTAATTTTATGTTTATTGGCAATGAGCCATTAATGGCTTGTTAATTTTGTGTTTACGAGCTCGCAGTCATTAGTGGCTCGCCGATTTTGTTTTTATAAGCTCACAAGCATTAGTGGCTTGTCAATTTCATGTTTATAGGTTCGCAACCATTAGTGACTCGTTAATTTTGTGTTTATAGTTTGTTGCCATTAGTGATTCACTAATTTTGTGTTTATGGGTTCGCATCCATTAGTGGCTTGCGATTTTTATGATTATGACCTCATAGATATTAATGGCTCGTTGTTTCTTGAAAAAATTCTTCCTTTTATTTTAGAGTGTGGAAACGAGACTTTTGATCGGGCCAATTATCAAATTACTCAATCAATCCAGTTTAATCTAATGACAATCGAATAGACATAGATATACAACATAATAAGACCATACATTGACATTTAATATGCATGCAATGCGAGCATATCTCGAGTAGGATGTGGTTAGATTGTGGTAGTAGTGATCTCGATTTTTCCTATCTATAACTAACTCCTTACCTAGATTTTGTATAGACTAGTTATTCAAATTTTCTAGTTTCTCAATACTAATTGGTGACTCCTTTCTTGTTTTCCTATCATTTAAAGCATTCATCGGACCCCGATGTCATGCTTGTGACAAAGCTCTTAATTGAGGTTTTGTTATTTTCTATATTTTTAATTGTTTATTTTTTTTCTTTCTTCTTATAATTATTATGCTAATCAAAATAAAGAATCTATATTTTGTAGATACAAGTGTGATAGGTCCAAGTGACATGTGTCATCTCTTTCCTATAAAAAAAAAAACTTAAAGATATACATATCATTAAATTTAGTAGGCCCAAGTAGGCTTAAAGTCCCAAATGACCAGTCACCCTCTTTAAAGACTCGGCTATTCTCTAGAAAAAGACTTTGGAGCTCTCACATCCTATAGCACTCCGGCTTGGATAAGAAAGATCTCACCTTCCTCCATGATGGCTAAAAAAGACGAACATTTAATAAAATGTTCTTACACTATAATGCCTATCATATCATTATCCATCATAATAACAAAATCATCATTGAAGATCGATTGCATCACACACAAGCCACTATTAGTTGTCATTTTACCCATTAACATCAAGAGGAAAAGACAATTATACCATTTTTACCATGTAATATGCATAAGTTTTGCCTATATAAGAACCTAATCGTTAAGAGTTCTATGTTTCCAAATTCTAACTACTCCTTATACTTGAAAAATCCTAATTGATGACTTTTTCTTTACACGGGCATATACTATTTTCACCAAAGAACCTATTTAGACCAATTCACCACCTTTTGATTACTAATTTGATCGTTGAAGGGTCCTTCGACCGATCCAAGAGACTTGTTTTGTAGGTATGAGATGTAAGGAGCCATACCACATTCTCTAGTTGAATCTCTTATTCCCATTTAGCTTGAGCAAGCCAAAGCTATCTTCAAATTACTAGACGAGTCATCTCGGACTCATAATAGTGAACATACTAATAAATACTAACGTGTAATGCTTGTCATTGTTTTTCAAATCAAAATAAGTTTTGTAGGGAAATAATTATACCAATAATCATAGTTATCACATGACTGAATAGGAGAGTGAACTATCAAAGGTTACA